CATTTGCACTAGTTTTGCTTTGAATGGTCAAATTGCTCTCTAAAGTGTGGGCCCTTCTGTATTTGTTTACCAAAACTTCACGGAATATCTGTGAATGAAGCAGCGTGCTAAATGCTGGAGATACAAAGATGATTAAGACCTAGTCCTTCACTCTGAAGAACTCACAGCCTGGAAAGGAAATAAGGAATTATAACGCTGAGTGACAAATCCTCTGTTAAGAGTCATTTCTTCCTTCCCTTCCAAGTCATGTCTCTCACCCTCCTCTACTCACTCGTCTCCTTCTGTCTACTCCTTATGGTCCAGGCTGCTATGAAATCCTTCACTTTGCATGCCATCTGAGTGATCTTATTCATCTCCATAGCAATGTTCAGATCCTGCTCATGAGTTTCAACGTATCCATTGCAAACTGAGTATCTAACCAGACGTGGTTATCTCATACCCAACCCGAACCTATGTATCTATAATAGAATTTTATATTGAATCATTTATATTTCCCCACAAATGATTTTCACATCCTGCAACCTTTTCATAGTGAGTAAGACCATGTCATATTGTTATCCAAAACAGCAATCTTGGACTTATCCTAGTCTCTTCCCTCTGTGCCAACCCCAAACAGTCATTAAAATTAATACTTCTATGACTTCAACAGTTGTCATTCTCTCCACTTCTGATGTTACTATCGACTTAGTTCAGACTTTCATGATCTTTAAATGCCACACTACAATATTCATATGTCATGATTTTTCCTGTCTTTAATCTCTATAAATCTCATATGTCCATTGCTCTCAGAGTTATCTCCCTAAAATGGAAACTTGATTGATACTCCTTGATATAAAACCTTTTATTTCACATTGTTATAGACCTGAATAGAATATACCAAATCTGGACCCAATTTGTTTAATGTACCTTGTCTCTGGCTAAGCCTTTTATCACCCTTATTTTAGCCTCGCTCAATCACTTATATTTCCCTTAACGTGGTATATTATTTTATACCTTCATGTTTTGGCTCAAACTACTGATCCATCTGTCAGAAATGCCTGTCCTACATCCCTCCTTTCCATTGTCACGGTTATCTAGTAAACATCTCACCTTTCAGTACCTAGCTTAAGATTCCCCTCTTCTATATGCCCCTTTCCGGGGTGGAGGTATGAATCAATAACTGTTAAGGAGAATCGGTCTGCTATTACAAATGTCAAAAATTACTACAATATCAAAGTAGACTTCAGAACAAAGAATATTATCAGAGATAAAGATATATATTAATTAAATAAAGGTAAGTGGGTCAATTACAAAGACATATAACAATCCTAAATATGAAGAAATCTAACAAATAACCTTCAAAATTCATGAAAAAAAATTAATAGAATTGAAAGAATAAACACAAATCTATAATCATAGTTGGATCCTTGAACATCCCGCTTTCAGAAATTGATACAATAGGCAAATGGGAAATCAGTAGGGATATAGAAGACATAAACAACACTATGAACCAAGTGGCCCCAACTAAGTTTTGGAGCACTCTAATCACCAAGAGCAGAAAGCATATTATTTTCAAACTCACATGGAACATTCACCAAGACGGACCGTGTTTTAGGCCATAAAACAAACCTAAATAAATGTAAAAGGACTGAAATCATACAAAGCATGCTCTCTGATTATAATAGAATTAAATTACAAATTATTTACAGGAAGATACCTGGAAAATCACCCAAATATTTACAAAATAAACAACACACTTCTAAATCATGGGTTAAAGGGAAACTAGAAAATATTTTGAACTAAATGAAAATGAAAATTCAACATATCAAAGTGTGTAGGGTACAACTAAAGCAATGCTTATAGGGGAATTTATAGCATGATTTGATATATTAAAAGACAAGACACTAATATGTTTCTACTTTAAAACACTAGAATGTGAAAAGCAAATTAAGTCCAAAGTAAGCAGAAAGATACAAAGGAACTAGAATAACTAAAACAATTTTGAAATTGATTGGCATTTGACTGCAGACACAGGAGAAAGGCCAATTGAGATCGTAACTGCCCAAGCGAGCCCGAACTGTTGACCCACAGAATCATGAGCTAAGCAAATGTTTGTTGTCTTAAGCCAATAAATTATGGTGTAGTTTGTTAGGTGTCAACAGCTACCTATTAAGATGTTTTCACAGATGAAGCGACGTTTGAATTGTATTTTGAAGGATGAATAGAACTTTCTTTTTCTTTTTTCTTTCATTATTTTTATCTCTTTTTTAAAGGTTTTTTTTGTGGGGGGGGGTGAAGAATACCCCCAATCTATTTAATCTGTGACAAATTAGTCTTGGTGAGTTGGGTACATCCTAGTTACTCATTCCCTTAAGCCATTGAGAGAATAGCATAGGATCATCTAAAGTAAAGTACAGAGCTCCTGCCATAAGATACCACCTGTTCTAAGGAAATACCAGGAGGAGAAAAAAAAGGCATGAGCATTGATGCCTCCTGGCCTAAAGGACACCAAAGGAAAGACTACTAAAACTTGTACTGCCGGTACCTCCCTTTGGTCTTTAACCACACAATGCCTGATTTTGTTATTTAACCCTTCCTGTTTTGATGCACTGTTGCCATGCTGAGATTGTGTTATTGTGAGCTTCAAAAGCAGAGGCCACATCTTCTATGTCTGTGTCTCTTCCTACAACTACTAGCACAGTGCTTGCCATTTAGATGCTAAAAGGAAAAAAAAATGTTTAAAGTAAATGGGATTTAGAGGGAGTCTGGTATTTTCCATAGCCATCAGCCCCACTCCAGACCAGAGTGGGTGTTGCCACATTAACTGTGGTGTCCTGGCTGGAGGCCGAGACTTAACAGTTGATGACCCTTCCTTTTCTGTGAGCCACTGTTAAGTACACTGTGTTAAAAAAAAAAAGTTCCTGAAAGGCCTTAAGAAGCCAGATATTATTGCTCTGGAGGTTCAGTGCCCACAGCCTTGAAAAATGCAGAATGCAAGGCTACACTGTGGGAAGTTGACACCCCAATCTGTTGGCCTCACTTCCTAGAGGCTGAGGTTCACTTGGATTCTACCTCTTATTTGCCAGTGGTGTTTTAAGGGACATCCTACTGTGCTGTGTCAGTTGTCTCAAGGATTGCCCCCAATCTTGTACACGTATGCTCATTATTTTTAAAGTGTTGAAATTATGGAAAATTATAAAGAAGAAAGTAAAAGTAAGTTTTCCAACAACCCAGAAATAATGACTTTTAACATTTTGGTGTATATTTGTCAGGGTGTGTGTGTATGTGTATAAATTTCATACTATTCAAACTTTTTTTTCCAGTCAACAATACACCATAAACATCTTTACATCTTCCCATGTCAGTATGCTTCCACCACAACATTTTGACATTTTTCTGGTATTTCATTATGTACCATGATTTATATAAATAATTCATTCCATTGGCTATTTAAATTGTTTCCAGGTTTTGAGGTTTTGATTATTATCAGCAATGGTCCTACAATGCATAAATTTGGGGGCAGATCTTTGATTTTGGCTTGGAGTATAACATAAAAGTGGATTTTCTGGGCCAAAAGATATACATCTAAGTCTCATACTACATATTTGTGATATTGACCTCTAAACACAAGATACCAATTTGTAGTAACATTGTATAAGTTATTTTCCACATCTCTTCATAAAAATTTTTTCTTATCCATTGATAAGTTTGTTAATCTGTCTTAAAGATTTTTAATGTTTTCTATAGATGCTCTTTCATATATTAAGTGAAAAAAGCAGAGAGTAGAAAATGAAATATTAGACAACTGCCTTGTTTGTTTTGTTTGCTTATTTGTTGGTTTTGTTTGGTTTCCTTTTTTAATTCTGGTCTAAATGTGTCTGGAAAAATCAAATTACACTGATAAGCTTGACTCATGAGGAAGCAAGTCCCCCCCTTACTTCCCTGGAGCAAGGCTGTGGGGCACCCACAGACCATGATAGTAGTTATTACAATTTGGGGAGCACAATGAGAATAGACAGCATTTTTCGATGTCATTTAACTTTTCTATTATCTATCAGAGTTTCACTTCAAATACTTTCCTAAGGTCTGGATATACTATGTTGGCGTTTGTGATGTTTCCTATATTTCTCCTTTATCTACTTTTCTGCACACTGTGGTCTAAAGGTGAACTATGGAAAGAAGAGCCCTATATTAAACTTATAAAAATTGGAGGCAAAGAGACCAAGATTCTAATATTGCCTCTGCTATGCACAGCTGTGAAGTTAGATATGGCCCCTTAACCTGTGTGGGACCTCATTTCCTCATTGTAAATGGCTTTATATTACAATTCAAGAGTGGTGCTGGTTGTTATGAGTGGGAGGAACACGTAAAGAGCCTTCATTCAGTACTTTCTTGTGCCAGATACTGTATACATATTATCTCACTAACTAGGTGTCATTTTCCTGCATTTTAAAAATGAAGAATTTGAGGTTCAGAAATCTGAATTAAATTTCCTAGGTCATACAGAGAGTAAATTACAGCTATAACATGTAATCTAGGTTTGCCTGACTCCAAAGCCTATTCTAGATATGAGTATTGAGTAACAATGGGAGTATATCCATTTATTAGGGTTCGTTAAGAATTTAAGATCTGCTATGTGCCAGACACTGTGCTCAGGTCTGGGAATTCAGTGGTGAATAAGTTAAATATGGCCCCTGCCTCATCAAGATTGCAGTCAAGTGGGGGAAAAGAGACATGGAAAGATGAAGTTACAAATATATAATTACCACTTGTGATTAATTAGTAAAAGAAAAGAAAAGAACAGGGTGTTGTGAGAGAATAACAGGGAAGACCTAATTTGAATTGAATGGTCAGGGAAGATGTTTCTTAGATTGAGACCTAGAGGATAACTGTGAGTTAACCAAGCAAGTATGGGAAGAGTGTTTCAACCTTTCCAGGTGGGTGGGTGGAGCAACGGAAGGTAGGGAGCTGATCCCGTCGGACCACAACCAGGCGCTTCGGGGAATGGAGGTGCCCTGATGATGGCCGCAGCCAGCTTTCTAGAGAGGGTTGTGGCCATGTTCAAGTATGTGGTATTTCCTTAACATGTTATGTATTAGGGAAAGTCCTACTAGACGTGGAAGTGGCCTCTCCCTTCCCTTGGAAATCCTGGCATGCCATCCAGTTTTGCAACTTCCCAATGTGTTGCCAGTCAGCTCTGCTGACCTATTCGCCCCACAGAGCATGTAGCTCATATTATTGTTCCTCAATTGGTTCTCCATGTTCTAATATCCGTGGGGCAGAAAGCTGGAGCAGAGCATGTCTGGACACTTTTGTCCACAAGTTATCTTTACTTTATACCTGGAAATTACATGCTAAAGTTCAGATGTCCCAGAGAAAAGTTGCTAAGCCTTTAGACTAGCTGTATAATCATAGGCTCTGGAAATCCAGCACTATTATTAATTGGAGTAAATATTTTGGATAACAGTGGAAAGGATTAAATGGAAGATGAGATTAAACTGTACACAGCTCTTTTGGATAATGGAGAAATAAACTGAGGAACATTTCTGGGTTACAGAGAGAATAAAACTGAGTCACTCATTCTGGATAAGGGAGGGAGACATAACTTGACTAACAATCCTGGGTATGGGAGGATGTTTATGGATGATGGGAGAAAGATGAAACTGAGCTGCTTTTCTGGATAACAGAGAGAGACAGCCCAGAAAAGGAAGTAAGGTAGTAGCATCTTCAGACCACGAAAACTAGCCAATAGATGGGAGTATGAGAAATGACAACTTCCTTGTGTGGACATCAAGGAGGTAGGCGCCCTAGAGTTTGTTTATTCCATGGCCTCCCATTGTCACACCGTGTGGCCTGGGGCCAGTAGACCTCATAAAGTCTCAGCCACCATGTTCTTAAAGCACATTTGTGACACTCCAGGCTTTTACAGTGACAGAGATACAAAGCTAGCATCTTCTTTGAACTGCCCAGATAAAATGACCTAGGAATCAACTTGGGGATGCTAAGTGTGGGGCAATTTAGTCATTTAAACTTGTGAGGCCATTACAATCAGAAGGGAAATTAGTCACATCCAATCTAAATCCTTTGTTTTACAGTTAATTAAACTGATGCCTGGAGATGGGAAATGACTTGTGCAAAGACCCCACAGGCAGATCAGGGCACAGCTGAGACTAGAACCCAAAATTTCCTACTCCTAGCCTAGTTGTTTACAATGCCAAACTTAAGGCCATCTCATAGGATTAGAGAACGGCTTTCTGGCCGAAGCTCCTGGGACCAAAATCAGAGACAGAATGGAAAGACTAAAGAAAATGAATTATGTGAATTCGGCACAGTGCCAGATGTTTTTACATATTTTAACTTTCATTTAATCCTCTCAAAAATCCCATGAAGGAGATATTATTGCCACTTTACAGCTGTTGAAACTGAGACTCAAAGAGATTAAGTATCTTGTCTCAGGCCACAGATGTGGCTGAGCCAGTATTTGAACCCAGCTCTGCTTGAAGACAGAGTCTGAGCTTTTCTACCCCAGTAGACTAGAAACATCAATTGGTTCTCAAGATCATCACTGATGTGATAAAACCTGGGACAGAAATTAGGGAAGACTAGCAGCATCTGCCCTTTCCTGTGGTGGGTAGGAAAAGGAGGAGCAGATGGTTTTTTCCTCAGGGTGATAAACAGAGTATTGACTCTCTATTCTGAAGTCATAATTCATGTCATGGAAAAATTATCATCTGGATAAAGGGTCTCTGAGCTCATTTTAGGTATGGTCACTTCAATGACAATTTTCCTTTTGGCCTATGTACCCTCTCTGCTCTTATGAGTAATATTTATAACCTAATCTAGTCACTTATGTTTAGTTTTTACAAGGATTATTTTAAAAATTTTGTATATAATTTGCTACTGACATATCTTTGGCCAATAACCACAAAACCTCTCTCATTACTAAAATCCTTCTATGCCAGTTTCTTTAAGAAATTAGATCGCTGTCAGATGAATTATTAATAAAAATTAAAGTGATAGCCAGTAGCATGGGTATCTTTGGGCTCTTGGCCAACAAATAAACCATCTGTGTGAAAGGAAACACACTAACAATTTTGGACTCTGCGGTCACACTGAGCGTTGACCTCACCGGTAATTACCCAAATTAATTGCCTTTCGGGTTGTGTTCTCTCGGCACGAAAACTTCTTTTCCCAATTCAAGCCACGTGGGTTAAAATGAGAAAACAAAAGCAAAAAACTGCTCCCCATACCCAGAAGCCCCTTCTGTCGGGGATCCCAAGTGGACCCAGGAGAGCTGTTAGAGGGCTGAGGAGGGCTGATCATCATCGCATACCATACATAGGTGGAGGGCTTGTTTTTCTGTTTCCCGCCTATGAGAGGATACCCCTATTGTTTCTGAAAATGCTGACCAGGACCCACACTTCCAACAAAAATTCCTCTATCCCTACAACAGCAGCAAAAGCAGCAGAAGCAGCAGCAACAGATAAGTGTTTTGATGAATTGCAAGATGGAAAGGGTTTGCAGTGCCCCCAGCCCTGCTGATACCGAATGCCTTTAAGATACAGCCTTTCCCATCCTAATCTACAAAGGAAACAGGAAAAAGGAACTTAAAACTCCCTGTGCTCAGACAGAAATGAGACTGTTACAGCCTGCTTCTGTGCTATTCCTTCTTGCCTCTGAGTTGTAAACAAGACCCAGTAGAACATGCGAATGGAAAGTCACAAACCTCTGGGTGCTTGAAAAGATCCTTGGGACCTCATGCACATCTGCGGAAACTGGATGGAGAGATTTGGGGAAGTATGGACTCTTTAGCCGGCTTAGTTCTCTATGGAGTCAGCTTGCTCCTTTCTGGTAAGATTTGGCTTTATTTTTTTGATATAGTATTTAAAAAAAAAAAAAACAACAGTAATTCTGGGCTCTATTTCTTGGTGCTAGTTAACAAGAAGCAGCTGTGGCATAGGCACTGTTTCTCTTTAATATATAATGTTCCATTTAATATATGTAAGAATTGAAATGTGACGTCTTTGTGGCATGGATTCATTTTTCTAGAATTTCTCTTCTGCATAATTGTCCCTTGTGTTACCACAGACTCTGTGAGGACTGATAAGTTCACTTTATTTGAAGAGATTCACTTACTATGGTGCATTTTTTTTTTTTTTTGCTCTTCTTCACGTGGGATCGTTTCTTATTTTAAAAAATAAATAGAAACCTACTTCTTTTTTACCTACTTCAAAGAAAATCTTCAGTAATTTTTTAAACAATGAAATTCATGCCGAGAATTATGGGGACCCATTTAAGGCAATGTATAGATTGTCATTTTTAAATGTCAACAAAAATGCTTTTCTATAGATTTCGTGTCTCCATCCTATTTTAGTCAAAGCAATCGAATTAGTCAAAATAGGGGTCAGGGAGATTAGGGCTATATTATTTTTTAAAGTATTTGGCATACAGTAATTCATAAAGTCTTTACTGGCCCAATGAAATGAAAGTTTTGGCAGTTACCAGATCCCTGGGCGTAGGAGAGTATTGAAACCTGTTGTAGAGGAAAGGAATAGCTGGCCTGAATGTTTTTAGGTTAGTGTCTGCTGCTCACGTTCCTGAACTAGTGGCACGCCTCTGTAGTTTACTCGTCCTATGGGACACTGGCTGAAAATGGTGTCATAACTTGAAGTGCAAGTCACAACTGTAATCGCCATCAGTCTCTCCCCTTCAGTTTGGAAACATTCTAATTATTATGATAGAAATAAAATTGGTATTGGAAATGAATTTGGGAAAATTTACTGACCTTAATGGTGCAGGCTATATTATATTAATAGAATTTGATTATTATTAAGTATCTGTTATATTATTTTTATGCTTTTCTAAATGAAATCTTAAATATTCAAAAAATTAATCCAATAAAATAACAGAATTTCATGTAATTTGTTTATAGCTCTTCGGTTCTCTTTCAACAACCAATTATATTGAGGATTTAATAATATCTTTAAGAATAATAATATGTAATAAAAATTGCTAAAAATGAAAGATTATCCAAAATGATTTTAATATTTATGTAGAAAATATTTATATTAATATAGAAATAATGTTGATTTTTTTTCAATAGTATGCACCTTTAAACCAGATAATTATCATGATTCCATTTTTGGTTTGTTTTTTCTGTTTAACACATTTACCAGGGCTATGAAATCTGAAACTGATTTTATACCAGGGATTATAGTAATCAAAGCTCTATAGTTGCTCTGAGATCCTTTTTAGGTTAAATAATACAACTTTTTTAATTCACTTTTTCCCCCCATAGTGACTGTTATGGCCCTTTGCAATATAGGCTTAGAAAAGCAGTCAAAATCAAACAAAAAAGATATGCCTAAAAGCACTGCTCCATGTTTAGACTTTAGTTTCCTGAAAACAGCACTGACTTCAACAGAGAGAGGCCCAAAAGAGAAGGATTTCATGCTCTTGTTATAAAGGGAGGGTGGCACTAGCAAGGTGCGTTCCTGGAAGTAGGTTTGTAGTATTGAATCCTAACTCACATTCCCAGTCTAAGCCTCCATGAGCATGAATACCCAAGGCTTGGTAATTGCAATACAAGAATCCAGCATGATCATGTCTCTAGGCATAGAAGCCCATTCTTCAAAGCAAACTCTACTGGTAGATGATAGTAATGGAGCAAGGGACTTACAGCTTATAGGTTTATCTCTCTAGTCCAGTAGATTTCTCATTCCTTTTTCCTAAGCAAATAGAACTGGAAAAAAATGTCACATTTGCCTCAATGAAGATGGCTCTGAGTGCAGATGCTGACCCGTGAGAGGGTTTCAGGAAGTATGTAGTTTTCAGAAGACTTCCCTCAAACCCGCCCAGATTCTGGTATATTCCCCTCCCAATTGGGAATCATGGCTAATTTCAAGTTACAAACAAGTTATAAATGTATAGCTTTTCTGTACTCCTCCATCCTCACCAAAATAGGCTGCTCTTTCTAAAGAGTTGTACATACAGAAAAACAAAATAAATCACTTTCTGCTTTATCATAATGTGTCCTATATGATCAACACTGATCCAATGGGAAGTCTCTAGCAGTGTGCCTTCATACCTCTTTCCTACTTCATTTGACCTTTTTAAAAAAATTTTATTTTATTAATAAAATAAAACGGTGTACATTGGCTGGCTAGACATTTATATAGTTTAATTGCTCTTTCTCTCTTCTGGCTCTCTACCTAGCCAATACATTAATGCTAACTGCATTCTCTATGCCATGCTCCCCATCCCTGTGACAATCTAATTTGCACTTCTTTAACCCTTCACCCCATTCTCCTGGCCCTCCGACCCCCCATCCCCTCTGTCCATCACCAGAATGTCCTCTATAATTGTGAGTCTGTTTTGATTAGTTTGTTCTTTTTGTTCCTTAGATTCTGCATATAAGTGAAATCATATGGCATTTATCTTTCTCTGACTTATTTCACTTAGCATAATAACCTCTAGGTCTATCCATGTCATTGCAAATGGTAGGGTTTCATTTTTTTTAATGGCCGAGTAATATTCCATTGTATATATAAACCATTACTTCTTTATCTAATGATCTGTTGATGGGCATTTAGGTTGCTTCCATATCTTGGCTATTGTAAATTGTGCTGCCATGAATATTGGGTTGCATAGATCTTTACGGATTATTCTTTTGGTTTTCTTTGGATAAATACCCAGAAGTCCAATTGCTGGGTCAAAAGGTATAACCATTTTTAAGTCTTTGAGAAACCTCTAGACTGTTGTTTTCCATAGCAGCTGTACCAATTTTCAATCCCACCAACGTTTGAGGGTTCCCTTTTCTCCGCATCTTCGTCAGCATATGTTGTTCTTTGATTTATCGATAGCCATTCTGATAAGTGTGAGGTAATATCTCGTTGTGGTTTTAATTTGCATTTCTCTGATGATTAGTGACCTTGAGCATCTTTTCACATGTCTGTTGGCCATCTGTATTTCCTCTTTGGAGGAGTATCTGTTCAGGTCTTCTGCCCATTTTTTAAAATTAGATTGTTTGTATTTTGTTGTTGAGTTATATGAGTTCTTTATATTTTGATATTAACCTCTTATCAGATGCGTCCTTAACTAATATCTTCTCTCAATCAGTCTGTTGTCTTTGTTTTGTTAATGGTTTCCTTTGCTGTACTAAAACTTCTTAGTTTGATGTACTCCCATTTGTTTGTTTTTTCTTTTGTTTCCCTTGTCCAAGGAGATATATCCGAAAATAAATTACTGTTAGCAATATCAGAGAGATTATTGCCTATGTTTTCTTCTAGAAGTTTTATGGTTTCAGGACTTACATTTAAGTCTTTAATCTATTTTGAGTCTATTGTTGTAAACGGTGTACGATTGACCTTTTAAATAACAACCTTGATTCAGTTTGTTATTTAAAATAGTGGATATCTTGTCTGAAGTGGCAGAGGAAATTCAATTAAAGGCATACCTCAGAGATATTGTGGGTCCAGTACCAGACCACAATAAAATGAGTCATAATCTTTTTTCTGGTGAAAGGTCTTGCCTTCAATTTGTAAAAAACGCAACATCTGTGAAGCACAATAAAGCAAAGTGCTATAAAACGAGGTATGCCTGTATAAGGTCAGGAAAGTGGTTCCAGATGGGACCTCCTCATTAGGGCTGGTCTTGGAAGGATAGTGTCATGTCTGAGTAATCAAGGGTGGAGGGACAAAAGCTGGGATCAGAGACATACCTGGGAATTATTTTCAGAGGGAGGAGTTTTGCTTTCTTCACAGATGCTCCCTCCTAAAGACTAAGATGCCTTTGTTGGGAGATCTCAGCATTTCCTTTTCAGCCCTCCCTTGGGAGAGCTTCCTGCAAGATCCTAGTTCTAAAACATCACCCCAGGAGAAAAGGACTCCTACAAGTGCCTCTCAGAAGACTATGCTGTATCCTCTTGGCCATGCAGATGGATGGGCTACCAAGTTTTCTGACATTATCAATTCGTCTTCTGGGACCCTACCCTTAAAAAGATGTGTGTGTGTGTGTGTGTGTGAGAGAGAGAGAGAGAGAGAGAGAGAGAGAGAGAGAATATTGTGTTACCTGTTTATTTCCTGTAGATGGCTTATTGGTTAGAACACAGACTCAGGATTCAAGTAGATTTCTCTAGGCCAGAAGGGTGGACTAAACCCAAAAGATACCATTTCAAAATAGATAAATGTCAAGTCATGCACGTGGGTCCAATAAATAAAACATGTATCTTCAATGTGAGAGAGAGCTTGTTTGTTAAAAGTTCTAGCATCACCAAATATCACCAACTTTTGGTGATATGTAAAATTCATAGGAGCCAACACATGCTCTGCTTGCTAAAAAGGTGTCACATAAGCTGCAACGGTTTGCATTAGTAGAAATATGAAGTCTCTATTAGAGATAGTAATCACTTCTATTAGAAATAGTAATCACTTCACTCTACTGCTCAGAGCATAGCCATTGAAACACTAAAGACACAGAAATCTGACAGCAAACATATTAGGCAAACAAGGCGAACATTTTAGAAACCATGTCATATTGGAATATTTAGCCTGGAGGAAAAGGATGAATAGCATTGCTTTTAAGGGTTTCCATATAGAAGACATCATACATTGACATTATATTTTGCCAGATCTAGGATCCAAGGATAGAGGGAGTTGCACAAAGATGGTTTGACTTTACTTATAAACACCTTTTAAATTTGATCATGAGTGACCTTCCACACTGGAGAGTGTTCAGGCATAGGTAAGGTGATCATCTATTAGGAGCGTGAAAAGAGGATGTAGAGTGTGGTGGATACTACACTGCCTTTCACATCCTTTTTGTTTCACTGTCCGCAGCTCCTCATTAATCTC